TTTTCTTGCTAAACATTTGTAGAGCGATGGACGGTGCTCAATCAACAATTTTAATATGGTGGCGCTATCGCCTTTACTCTATGTTTTGAACTTCCCCAACACTTTTTTTTGTCGTCCTTCTGTAGTTGTGTGACCATGTTACAGTTCAAATTTCTCTCCTACTTATTTTGTGCTTGGTTGTGTGCTGCATGTCTTCGGTAATTATCCAATCGGACTCACATCGACGTGTTCAATCACACTAAGATCATGACCATTGTTTTATGAGAATTGTTCAATCGATCAATCAGTCAATCAAGAAATAAATCAATTAATAAATCAACCAATCAATCCATCGATTGATCGATCAATCAATCATTCAATCAATCAATCGATCAATCAATCGTTCAATCGATCGTTCAATCGATCGTTCAATCGATCGATAAATCAATCAATCAATTCATTGCCTGATCGATCAATCAATCAATCAATCAATCATCCGACCAATCAAACAATCAATCAAATAATCGATCAATCATTCAATTAATCAATCGGTCAATAGATGTATCAGACAATCAATCAATCAATCATTCGGTGAATCAATATGGAAATGACAATCACACAATGTCATTCGAACGATTGAAGTCGGCAGTACTCGTGTGCGAATAAATAAAATAAAAATAAAAATGATGTGCCTGAAAGGCTGAAAGTTGCACCAAATATCACACACCATATTCACAAGTTGTCCATGACAGCATTAAAGACGCATGCAATTACTAGACGATCCATGCTCTCCGAGATCATACACAGATCACATGCATGGACATGGGCGAGAAGAGCACAAAGACGACAGCGCACGCGAGAAAGATGCATTTGCCCACGTGGATGTAGGTTTTTTTTTTTTTTTACATAAAAATGTGTCATTCTCATAATGGCTTCCTTTCCAATGCACGCAGCTCAAAAAACAACTTCGTCGACCGACCACAGCGGCAACCACCGACGCCAGGACAACTCCCGTCCATTAACAAAGCCCCGCTGGGCGGACGTGGCAACCCCTCCACCACCCCCTCCTCCAGTTCCCCCCCCCCCTCCTTTCCTTCCCCCCCCCCCCTCTCTCTCTCTCTCTCTCTCTCTCTCTCTCTCTGTGGACGTAGGACGAAAAACGACGGATGACGAACGAGGTGCCATCAACTGGGGGACCTTCCGCTGCGCACGCGGACAAGGCGAGGAGGTGGCACTACGACGATTCTCATGAGTCATGACCCTCCATTGCCATCGTCTCCGTCGTCCTTCGTTTCGTCGGCGGGAGCTCCCGTCCCCAACAAATCCCTCCTTGCCGCCACGTTAGGGTCCGCCAAACCGGCATTGTAGTTAAAGCTGATTCCACAAGCCACCCACTCCGGGATGTAGTTGGGAAATGTACCCAACGTCACGGGTGGCTTCCCAAGGTGATACAATACAGCATTCACAGAGTCGACAATATGCCTGCGGCCTGTGTGTCCGAAATTGGATTCAACGCGCGTTGAATTCCCGTTAAACTCCCATTCAAACGCGAGTTGAACGCGAATTAACGGGGTCCGGGATGATTTTTTTCCTGGGCTAAAAATTATCCAAAAAAAAAACAAAAAAAATGGGGTTGTAGGTTTTGTTGAGGACTACAACCCTGCATTTTTATTTTTATATTTTGATGCTTAAATCTATTTTTACAAAATCAAAAACATAAACACACAATGAAAAAACAAAAACTAAAATGAAATGAGTGTTTTTGTTTTGGGTTTCACACAGATTTTTTAAGGGCTAAAACGAAAACAAGAAAAACAAATAAAAAATATAGGGTTGTAGATCTTTCAAAGATGTACAACAATTTTTTTTGTTTTTTTATTTTTTGGGAACTTCGTGTATTTAAAAAAAAATCAAAACCATAAAAAGCAAATTAAAAAAAAGAAAAAAGACACACACACAAAATTGGGCCTGTAGCAGGTTGCATGAGTCTCGCGTCAGTTGGTTGAGGGAACCCAGGTCCTGGGCCGCCTGTGTGAATGTATGGAAAGCAGGCCCTGGGCTGGATACGGGTACTGGGCCAAACACAGGCCAAAGGCAGTTGGGGGCATGCAACCACCTTAGGCCCAAGGCCTGTTCTCGTTCGTGTTGTGCCTCAGGCTACCGGGGCCTACTGGAAGCTTCCTGGGACTGAACACAGGCAGGCCACTTCGATATAGCAAAGGGCCTGCCACCACATTGGGCATTCGGGTGTTGGCTGCATGCTGCGTAAGCGCTGCCGCGTTGTAGCTCGTGCCACTCACGCGGTCACGGGCGAGCAGGAAGGAGCAGGCAACCATAGTCGAGCTGCGCTGCTGTAAGCTGGGTGTGGCGCAGGGTGGTCCTTGGGTGCAAGTGGAATCTGTGTGTTGGGGAACGAGGTTGTGAACTTGTGGGTAAGGCGAGACACACTCTCACGAGCAGGCACAGATACACTTACACTTACACACACACACATACACACACACACACTTACAAACACACACATACACAAACACACACATACACATACACACACACACTTACAAACACACACATACACATACACACACACACTTACAAACACACACATACACTTACAAGCACAGACACACACACACACGCACTTACAAACACACACATACACAAACACACGCGCATACATTCATATTCATGCACAGACACACTCTCATGGCAGGCACACACATACACAGATGCGCGCACACACAGCACACCTACACACACATAACTGGGGCGTTGGGGGTTGAGGGATGTGGGGGCGGATGGGAGGTGCTTCAAGGGTTCGGGGGATTTTTTTTTTTTTTTTTTTTTTTTTTTTGCCTAGGGCCACGTGTTCCGGACCCCGCGCATCAATTCCGTTTTTCCGAAAAGCGCAGGAGCGGCCCATTTTCAAGTTTAACGTGAATTCAACGGGATTTTTTGGAGTTAAACGGGATTCAACGGGAGTTAAATTCCCCCGTTCTGCGTTAAAAAGATACACAGCCTGCGGCAGTTGAATGTTTGCGACCCCGCTGCCAGCAGTGTCGGCTTCGCGACGAACTGCGAGTAGTACGACGCCTCATAGTGAGAACGACGTGATCTACATGTTGGCGGCGAGAAAAAGGCGGAATGCGTCCCCGATTCTATTCAGCTTGGACTGGGACATCTTCCCGTTCTCGGACCACTGGCCGCCAAATGCATCTTGGAAGCAGGACGCCAAATGCAAGACCGTGGACTCTTGAAGGGCAGCCATGTCACCGCCCTCCGGCCTGTCGTGGATGTACGCCCCGACATACCACAACGGAACGTCCATCTTGAGGGCGAGCGTGTGATAAACAACACTGGGAGAAACCACCCTCGACCACTCCAGGGACTTCCACACTGTGTTCGCCAGATCCGTCGGGTAGTCCACTGACACATACGACTCCGCGCGGGCGAAACCATTGACTCTGGAAGGGGACCTGAAGATCCACCCGTGGATCACGCGCATGGCCACGTTCGCCGTCTTTCTTGCCCTACGAAGAGTTGGATCGCGCTGTGTTGGATCTTCGATCCGGAAGCGGGGGACGTCATTCGTTAGCATGATTAGGCCTGCGAGAGTGTTGGCGCTAGCGTCACCATCCACGATCGCACAGTAGTAGTCTGCGCAAGGGTGCACAACTTCGGCGATTAGGCGACCAGGTTCTGTCCCCCAGAATGTCTTTCCGTCCGTCCACAACTTCGACTTTGCGTCCAAGTCGTCCGCCTGCCGCAATCTTTGCGAGAAGCTCGTCGGCGGCGGCGGCGGCCACCGGAGTACGGTCCATCTTCTGCTCTTTCCTTCCTGCCTCCTCGCGCGTCCCCTCTTCTCGCCTTTCTCCCCAGTACTGGCAACACCGTGGACAGCTGCGCTTGCCACGTTCGGTACCTGAAGCACCTTGCCCGATGACCCGGCTACGGTATTCAACGGATCAACGAGGCGACTTTGCATGGCTTGGACAAGTGTTTTGTCGCCGCGTCCAGCTGTGGCCACCACTGTCGCCGCTGGAATGACATGTCTTTGAGCTCCTAATTTGGCGATGCCAGTCCCTTACAAGCGTCGTTCCTTGCCCGCCAACCCTGGCCAGTGCGAGGAACTGCTCCCTTGGTACACCGTCTCGCCCGAACCCCAGTGTCAGCGTCTCCATGGAATGCCCCTCCATGGGCGATCCGCCGATCCCTGCTCCCCCCCCTCAAACCCCATCACGCCCTCTGTCCCCTCCACACACTTTGGGACGTGTCCCCTTCCTACCTGGCCGCCTCCGCCTTCGCCGGGGCTGTCTCGTTTTTTCTGGTGCGACTGTCCACGTGGTGGCATGTTTTCCAGTCGACAAATCTCTCTCTCTCTCTCTCTCTCTCTCTCTCTCTCTCTCTCTCTCTCTCTCTCTCTCTCTCTCTCTCTCTCTCTCTCTCTCTCTCTGGCCGCGAGCGGTCCTCGACGTCGACAATGTTGCGAGGAGACTGTTGACCACTCGCCTACGGAGACAGCGATGGGCACACCAGTCGTCCGATCGGACCTGCACTTCGCTGTCGACCACATTCACATCGTCGTGCGATGAAAGGACGACGTTGCGGCAGGATAAGACATACACGTCGAGGCGCCTTGCACATGTTGTGAAGCATACCCGTGTCGGTCCTTTATACTGCCATGCGTCATCGTTCCCTGCCTCGGCGCGCTTCCGACAATATGGCGTCTATGAATCCCCCGCGGTCATGACTGCGGGGTCAATCTCGGCCCGCGGTCGGGATCCCGACCGCCGAGGTCGGCTGCGGGCGAGGGTCGCGGTCGGAAAACCCCGATATTTTTAATTTCAAGGATAATAGGCAAAAAAAAAAACAAAAAATATGGGGTTGTAGGTTTTTTTGCGCTCTACAACCTTATATTTTTAGTTTTAATTTTTAACTTCGTTTTGGATTTTTTTTTTTTAAATGAAAAAACGAAATCCCTCGGGCAAAAGTTCTTCACTTTATTCTTTTAGTAAGAAAAATAAAGGATTTTGTTTGTTTTTTATCTCAAATTTGGTAACGAATGTTGATATCACCCCAAGGCAAAATTTGTTCAGTTTATTTTTTGGCATAACATATATTTTGTTCAGATTTTTCTGAATTCTTTTAGTTTTTTTTGTTTTCTTGACCGCGGACCGCGGTCATGACCGCGGACCCGCGACCACGACCGCAGTCCGCGGTCGTGCCCGCGGTGACCGCCGCCGCGGGGGATTCATAGTATGGCGTCTAGCCAAAAGGAGTGCACAGGCGATCGAAGTCCTTCCGGTTGCCAATGATTGACGTCGACCGATAGCAAAAGGTCGCCACCACTAAGCGAAGTGACCGGCTGCCTGCTTCGTCGCCACACGCATCCTCGTTGTAGTTGTGGGTCGACTGTGCCTTTTTCCCGCCTCCACGATGACCTATCACCCGAAGCCACCCTTCCGCACTTCAATAAGTTCTCGCCCGCCCTTCCCACCTGAATTTGCAACCCCCCCTCGGACCTGCACTTCGCTGTCGACCACATTCACATCGTCGCGCGATGAAAGGACCACGTTGAGGCAGGATAAGACATATGCGTCGAGGCACCCTGCACATGCTGTGAAGCATACCCGTGTCGGTCCTTTATACTGCCTTGCGTCATCGTTCCCTGCCTCGGCGTGCTTCCGACAATATGGCGTCTAGTCAAAAGGAGTGCGCAGGCGATCGAAGTCCTTTCGGCTGCCAACGATCGACGTCGACTGATAGCGAAAGGTCGCCACCCGCAAGCGAAGTGACCGGCTGCCTGCTTCGTCGCCACATGCATCCTCGTTGCAGTTGTGGGTCGACTGTGTCTTTTTCCCGCCTCCACGACGATCTACCACCCAAAGCCACCCTTCCGCACTTCAAAAAGTTCCCGCCTGCCCTTCCCACCCGAATTTGCAACCCCCCCCTCCCCCCCCTCACCTGCCTCAGGCTGCCT